TTAAATCAAAAGAGTTTTCGGCTAAACAAGAACAAGAGTAGGGTATCAAAACCAACTCTTCGTCTACAGTAAACAAAATATGCAAAATAGGCCCTACCCTTGGGTTTATCATGGATTAGATGCCATTTCAAACACATTCACTGAAGGAAGCAAGTGGCCACCAGAAGGTAAGGAGTTCCTGTGGTATTATAGCGGTGAGGAAGAAAGGACTTTGTCAGAGAAAGGCATCCACCCCTGCTTCAGACCCCCATGGCTCCCCCACCGGAATCTGTCTTAGTAGCATAGGGGATATTTGCTGATTAATGTGCCAGATGACTTGTGCCAGTAATCATCACACCTGTTATATTATCTCGTATTGCTTTGGTATATAGGGATTGATCAGCAGCAGGGGTTGTTTCGTAGAAAAAGAGCTAGGGGAACTCATTAGCATAACTCATTAGCATATGCCACACCCCCTGACATCAGGGGCCCGGCCTTTAGAAACTTCAGCCCTTTGTTTCCATGACTCGATTACTTTCCTGGGAAACTTTCTTTCTAGATGCTTCGTTTTGCCATCCTCGTGTTACTCTCTTGTGCCATCTCCACCAGTGCAGGTAAGACCCAGCAGCTGTTCAATATTCTGAACGATGTGGGTATCCTCGTTGCCTCATTGGGTAGTAGGAAGCGGCTGGGCCTTGGATCTTTAATTACTTTTTCTCCCCCTCTGCAACTTATTTTAGGGCAGCCTATGAAATGCTCTGCTTCCCATTCTGGCGAATATGGAGGGACTGGAGGATCTCGCTTCTCACAGTCCGTAAACCAATTGGATGGGCCCATAACTATCCTTCAGATCCGTGCAAGCCCAACACTAATTAACGGGTAAGTGTATGATGATCCAGAGCTGGGGATGGCAGTGGCGAATTATGTCTATGCAAAACATCTGATTTATGTGCGAGCAGAAGGGGAGAGAAAAGGGAAGAACTTCATCCAGCTTGGCTAATCCTCGGCCTGTGACAGAATCCGATCAGGCCCAGGAATCTAACAAATTCTGAGCTTAATTCACAAAACAGTTCGCAGTGCGTCTGAGCCTTTCTGGGATAACCCCGTTCCCTCTGCTGTAGTGGCCATCAGCCCTCACCTAGACAACCCAGACTAGCCCGGTCTTGTCAGATCTTGGAAGCGAAGCAGGTTCAGCCCTGGCTAGTATTTTTGTGGGAGTGGGAGAACTCCAAGGAATACCAGGGTCGTGACGCAGAGGGAGGCAGAGAAAAACGGGAGAGTAAAAAGGAGGGGGGGTTTGCCAACCTCCAGGTGGAGCCCGGTGCTCTCCCAAGATTATGACTATAGAGATCCATCTCCCTGGAGGAAATGGCAGCTTTGGAGGGTGAATTCTATGGCATTATATATAACTGGTCCCTCCCCTCCTTAAACTCAATCCTTCCCAGGTTCCACCACACACACACACACCCCAATTTCACAGATCACAGAGGAGGGTACAGGCAGAGATGAATGTCGGTAACTAGAGCCTATCTGCTCCTTTCCAGGTCATAACCTTCCTTTCTTCCCTCCAGTTCTGTCAACAACAGGCAAATGTGAGCCTTTGGGGAATGGGGTGGACTGCTCTTGATTCATACTGATGGTATTACTCAAGTGTGTGACAAGGCAAGCTAGTCATCGGAGGGGGAAGATGCCCTCTCATCCACACTGCCACGTGCCATTGAGCATACAATCCACGTTCTTCTGTTGTGTTCACATTAAGAGCAGCCTTTTCACCTGAACACAGGTAGGTGCCATATAGTGCTTCAGAGAGCTGTGAGGGGAATGGTGCCCTGAGAGGGGATGATTTGCTGTAGTTTCCACTCCTTTCTCTGTGTGGAGAGAAGGCAGGGAGATGTCTAGGATAACCCCACCTCCGCAGCAATAGGTAAAGCGTTGTCTCCGGAGAGTGTGAATTTTCTTGGCTAATGGATGTGAGTTCTTGAAAACGTAGTCTTCTCACACACAACCCTGAGAGAAGAGGCATGGGATGTATGTGAGAAATGAGGAAGAAACGAGGTGTCATTGTGCAAGTAGAGATCACAAGGAAAAGCTGTAATGGGCAGCTAGCTTTGTGCTTACAACTTGTATCCCATTGAAGTCAATGAATGTCTCTGCAAGAGTGTTGGATAGCAGCAATTCCAAAGGCAGCAGAGGAGGTATGAAGCCCACCCTAACTTTTCCCTTATTCCAGCCTTCGGGTCCGGTTTGGGAGGAACTGGATATGTGGGAAGCCGAGCAGGTGACTCGCAGACGGTCCAGCTGC